GATCATGTGATATTATGGAAGGCAGCCATGGATCATGTGATATTATGGAAGGACATGGATCATGTGATATTATGGAAGGACCATGGATCATGTGATATTATGGAAGGCAGCCATGGATCATGTGATATTATGGAAGGCAGCCATGGATCATGTGATATTATGGAAGGCAGCCATGGATCATGTGATATTATGGAAGGCAGCCATGGATCATGTGATATTATGGAAGGCAGCCATGGATCATGTGATATTATGGAAGGCAGACCATGGATCATGTGATATGGAAGGACAACCATGGATCATGTGATATTATGGAAGGAAAACCATGGATCATGTGATATTATGGAATGACGACCATGGATCATGTGATATTACGGAAGGACGACCATGGATCATGTGATATTATGGAAGGACACATCTCGCTTTTCGCTCTGTTCCTTTAGTTGCCACTGGGCCCTTGTAACAAACTAGGAAAACGCACAAATAAATGATGACAGTTTCTTAAACAACTTTTTTATTTTAGTGACAAAACTTATGCAAGTTTTTTCTAGAGTTGGTCTGTTTTTATTGCAGTCCACGTTGGTTGATTCTTTTATGTCTATTTGTTTTTGTGTTAGATTGCAATTCATCGGTATCATTTTGTCTCAAACGGACTGTAAATGGGGCAGTTGTGTAGTTGTCATGGCAACTAACCTGTGAAAGCGACCCCTGCCAGGAGGAGAGCCGCTGCATACATTTCCATCATCATCAGCAGGGACCATCTGTAAAACAAGAGCAGGAATAATAATAAAAAAATAATCTATTACTCAGGGTGACCCTGAATTAAATGTAATTCAGGGTCACCCTGAGTAATAGATTATTTTTCCGAAATAAAATTAGAGAAAAATAACTCAGCCATACATAAAAGTTACTTTAAATGTTTCACTTCAACATAGCACAGGATTTACACAGGACTGACACAGGACTGACACAGGATTGCAAAGCAACTGCTCTTGGCAGGCATTACTAATAAAATAAATGTTAGTTGTACAAACTGGAATTTCTTTATAAATTTTTGTTTTCTTACACTCTGTGATATTTTAACATTTAACATTTATAACAAATAATCTCTTAAGATGACTGTGCCAATCGTCACTACTTATACTATTCTCAGTGAAATTACAATTTGTAAAATGTTTAAAAACTTCCTGGGTTTATCGATTGAATTTTCCAATAACTTTAGCCTTTTATTTTTGTTATACACTTGTTTCCGAAGACAGACATTATTATACCTATTTCTAGCACAGTTGTAATCTTGTAAGAATTGTTGATATTTAAGAGATCTGAACTTATTTAAAGCCCTACATCTTTCCATTGATCAACAGCATGAGCATCGATCTACTGGATACGATGACGTGTTTTATCTAAGTCAGCAGGGCTGACCACCCAATCCCAATACATATCCCAACACAAGCTGAATTCGACATTCTGGTGATTTCGACGATTGCATTGCTCGCGATATATCGGGGGAGTACGTGTGCAATCGGAGTACACAAACAGTTTCACTGGTAGGGTGGGTGCCCAGTCGCTGTCGTGAGAAGTTTTATTGACAATGGAAATCGGGAAGTAAAGTTATATAAAAAGCAAACAAATGTCAATATTATTTACCCGAGATTGTTAAAACCACTTCCGATGCAAAATCAGTTGCCTTTATAACAAAATATAGCAAGCGAAAATTCAGTACGATCAGTCGTCTGCTGGTGACAGGCAATATATAAATAGGAAGCCACATGATCACAACACTTCCCTGCAGCACGGAGCAAAAAGTATGGCTCATCGTCGAAAACCTATACAAAATACCCAGATGTTACGAGCGGCCACTGTTTCGCCGATATGATATCATCAACGCTGTTTTTGTAGGAAACACTTGATATTTTTGTGTGAAATAAATGAATATATCCTTTATCACTCCAGGTTAATAAAATAAAAACTTTAAATGATATTACAGATAAAAATTACGTTTTTGTCTCACATCATCGAAAACCCCTGACACCGGGATAGTTGATGGGGAAAACTGACTGTTTTGAATAAATTAATCTTTATCATTAACTGTTACAATGTTTTCGGTATTACCCTGATGGTATAAACAGTTCCCTTGCTTGTGTCTTGTCATGTACTAATCACGTGCAAACCACCGAGATAAGACCGATACCCACACAGTCTGTTACCATGGTTACGCGACAGCCACACCCATTGACGCCGCTAAAATCGAACGGGGTCCAGATCTAGCGCGACACCGGCATCACGGAGACGGTCAGCTCTGACAACGTTCTTGAGACGTGAACCACGGCGACCATATGGCTAGGCTCGTCTGTCAATCACTACTAGTGCCATTACTACACGCTGCAATACGTACTACAGTACTTCGGGCTCTGATCAGCTTACAATGTCAACAGGAGCGGCAGATTTTACGAATGCTTCTCCGTCTGTCAACACTTTCAATGAAAAATGCTTGATGATAAAACATAGAAACCAGGGTATATCAAAAGCAGTAGCAACAGGCAACTGAAATCCCGAGTGATAAATTCGCCGTCAAATATCTCCTGGAAACACCACAAGCAATGTCTACAGCATATAAGGACGTAAATGTGATGCACGGAGCGTTGGTATATAGCGGGGGGGGGCACGCAGAGGTCCCCAAAACCATGGCTACACGGCGAGTGGGAAGATAACATAATTATTTACAAATTACTTATACCCACCTGATCAATACATAGTCGTCCGATGTCGCTAAACAGTCAAGAATCAAAGGTTACCGTGAGATCTCCTCGCGAACTTTGGGGCCCAACATCTGGGTCACATCTGGGAAATGCTCCGTACACTGCAACCGGTGTAGGGGTTATTGGCGCCCTGTAGAATTACCTCCCCTTAACGCGGCAGAGAATCCCGGCGTTTCAGCCGTATTTTCAGTGCTTTCGGACGGGCGATAATCTGACTGGGGTTAACCTGACGGGCGTTAACCTCTTTGGCCATGTGGACAGAGTGTCCGATATCGAATCAGTATATTCATGGTTCAAATCCAACGTATCTACGAGGTCCGGCAAAAAGACAGTAAACATTGTTGTACGTATTTTGCTGTTCTTAGAAAGCAGTTGGGACAAAGATGCAATACAACCATTCCACCCAACAGGTGACAGTTTCAATCATGATTCAGTATCAACATGTATATTTTATAATTACCCTTTTCGGGCAATGATTTGTTGGTTGAACGTTTTTAATGCTCTCTATCAATGAAATTCTAAACGCTTTCCAAAAAATAACCTTTATAATTTGATAAAGCAAGCATTTATCATTTCTAAAACGAAAACAACATTGAAATTACCATGTACTTTAATTAGGATAATTGCCTTTATTATATAGGTAGTAATTTTCCTGTACCACGATTGGTCAAAATACCGTCACATGATTGACTACAAAACACGATAATGACTTGAGTTTTCTGATAAATTACGATATTGACTTGGGTTACTAAAAATAGACAAGGAATCCCGTAGGAAGGGGCTTCCCCCGCTTTTCTGCCAATCAGATCACTCGGATAGATGGCACAGTGTGTGCATTAAAAGTTTATGTTAAAACCCGTTTCTCTTTCATTATATAATAAAACAATTATAGACTCTTGCAGAGGTCGATATCGGTTTTTATTGACCTGAGTAAAACAATATCGACCGAGCTTGTGAGGTCGATATTGTTTTTCTCAGGTCCATAAATAGAGAATACTACACGAGGTCTCATTACATACGAATTATACGAAACGAGTGTCCTTCCTATGGTATCTGACCGAGCGAAAGCGAGGTCAGATACCATAGGAGAAACCACAGTTTCGTATAATTCGTATAATAATGAGACTTCGAGTGTCATTCTATTTTATTACCCACGTCTTACATGCATTAAATTGACAAAATAACGTAGTTTTGTTAATATTTTGGTTTCAAACCGAAACCGGTTTCATAAAGAGGTTGCGGAAGAGTTTTGTACTGTAGTACAATATTTGCATGACGTCACTGTAATGACGTCACTGCCTTGGTAACCGACGTCACGATGCATGTCAGTTGTCTTCGCCTCGTACAGCCTCCTACAGTAAACTACTCCGTAGCACCCCGTTTCTTGGTTTGCAGTTGCTTCATTCGGCTAACATCACTGGTGGAAACATTGCGTTTACGTTTTTCGACGGGTATAATGTCTCAGTTCGACTCACAATAAAACAGCGACACGGCAACGTTCGCGATGTTTACATTCCCACAATGCATTTAGTTGTAGAATGAATGGATCCACGTGTTTGTTATGAATGAAAAAGTAGTTCCGTCACAACATGACCTAACTGAGAGGTCATCGGTTATCCAATCAAATCGTTAGAATCTCAGGTCAAGTCGTTACGACACAGGTCAACGCGATACGACACACGTGTGACGTACGAGATTAGTATGCAACTCCCATACGTTGACCACGTGGGTAATAAAAACCGATATCGACCTCTGCAAGAGTCTATAATTGTATATTATCATCCAAAAGTGTGTTCCACAGGTGATATCGCTTGTGTGAGATCATATGAGATCTCCTAGGAGATATCGTTTTGACAGTAGATTTTGTACAATGCCCTGACTAAAAATGCTATGATGTCATCAACTTGATGACGTCACAATGCTATGACATCGCTGCACTGCAAGTCTGATGGTAGTACGGTGTTCAGAGATGTACATTTGTCACAGAAAACTAATGAAGAGTGATTTCTTATGATAAATATGATAAATAGAATCTCACCATCGTGTCAACACTCGTTGATAAAGGTAAAAAATCCTCGGCAAGCCTGGGATAGTTGTTACTTTATCAACTCGCGTTGATATAATCGATATCAGTAGACACTTGGGTGAGAGTTACCTTATTTTGAAAAGTGAAAGTAATAATTGATTGTTGTGTGGCCTATAAGTTCGTTATTTATTCTGAATGGATGAAAGTTTGTAAACTAAGATTTAGGAAAAGTTACAGTCAAACTAAAAAAGGGAAAATTTTAAAATTCAGTAAAAGTTGCTGTACAAACGAAACGAACAGATTTTACCTGTAATTATCATTATCCGGCAAGGAGAAGAGTTTATTCGTTTTACAAAAAAATCAAAATCATTAAAAAAATGTATTCCAAAATCTTATTAATGTGGCATTTTATCAGTTTTTGTCAATTAGCAATCTGAATTGTTGGGAAAAGGTCTGAATCATAGACATTCGGATTCTTCCTGGTTATGCATAATTAAAGCTTACTTGATGTGTAAATGTCATCTTGGTATATAACAGAATTGTTTTTTTATTCAAAAATTAATTAATTGTGTAGTTTGAGCAGGAGAGGAATAGTTATTTTGGGTAAAAATCCAGTCCCATCACATTTTCATCAACATATTCTTTCATAAAGAATAGAATAGGTTATGGTATTTGTAAAACTGCCAGTTGATAAAGCCTCTTTTACTATAGGTTGATTAAATTGATGGCTATACCCTAACTTTTCTGTTGCATCACATCTTATTTTCAAAATAGGGTGGTGCTTAATTAATGCACGGGTGTATATGTGAATCTGGTAATTTGCTATCGTGAGTACATAAGAATTTGACCAATGTAGCTTTAAGGATGTAATATGTTTTACCTGATGAAGAGGCAATATGGATGGTGCTTGATATTGAACATCCTCGATAATCTCCAGGGTATACGTTACGATCACTCTCCACTGGGGAAATAATAAAGACAAATTCACAGATCTGAAACTTTAAAAAAATATATGAAAGAACTCCTTCTACTTCTTTCAGAGTACCTCTGCATCAATTGTGTTGCCGAGTTTAAACGGTTAGATAATTTGAGTAGCGAAAGTGAGTTGTGATTGGCTCGCTCAACTTCCCAGCGTAGGCACCTGGCTGGATAAAAAGCCAGCAAAGGGAGGTAATTAAATCATCGCCCCAGGCCGTGGATGCATCCAGGGTATAGTGGAGAGTGATCGTAACACAAAAATAACACAAAATACTGCACACATGCAGGGAGATATATAGCTTGGGTAACTATTAGGGTATCATACCCGTGACAACCTTAGAATATACCCGTGACAAGATTAGGTACCATACCCGTGACAACATTAGGATACCATACCCGTGACAACATTAGGATACCATACCCGTGACAACATTAGGGTACCATACCCGTGACATTAGGTACCATACCCGTGACAACATTAGGGTACTATACCCGTGACAACATTAGGATACCATACCCGTGACAACATTAGGGTATCATACACGTGACAACATTAGGATACCATACACGTGACAACATTAGGGTACCATACCCGTGACAACATTAGGATACCATGCACGTGACAACATTAAGATCTATACACGTGAGAACATTAGGATACCACACACGCGACATTAGGATACCATACACGTGACAACATTTAGATCTATACACGTGACAACATTGGGGTACCATGCCCGTGACAACATTGGCGTTCCATGCCCGTGAGAACATTAGGGTAAAATACCCATGACAGCATTTCCCAATTTGGGGTACCACGCCCGTGACAACAATGGGGTAAAATACCCGTGACAACATTTCCCAATATGGGCTACCACGCCCGTGACAACAATGGGGTAAACTACCCGTGAAAAGCGGATCCACACCACCGAGTGTCTTTTCTGTACCTGCCAAACTGTGGCGAACCTTCTGATTAACAATAAATCTAAACCAGACCACAGGTATGCTCTCTCTCTCTCTCTCTCTCTCTCTCTCTCTCTCTCTCTCTCTCTCTCTCTCTCTCTCTCTCTCTCTCTCTCTCTCTCTCTCTCTCTCTCTCTCTGTCTCTCTCTCTCTCTCTCTCTCTCTCTCTATTACGCACACGCACACGCACGCACATACGCACCTGTTAATATGATATGAACACCTCACGCCGCGAGTATGAAAACACGACACGTACCGGTGTGAGGCTGGAGATGATCCCCAGTGAAATATCCCACCCCGCCTGTGTTTGTGTAACGGTACACGCTGCACCCACTTCATCCCAGCGTCATGTGGTTTTAATGTACAACAGATCGTCTCGGCGCAATACCATGTGGTTTTACTATCGCCAGTCGCATTATCCCGACGAGAAGAAAATAGAAGCGCCGACAAATATCTGCCTTCTATCAAGAGATGAACAAGAACATATGGCTTTGTCATCGCAGAAGCTAGACACCGGGTTGAAAATAACTACCGCGTTTCTACAGGCAACTTACTGTAAGTTCATTCCCTCCAATGTGTACGTTCAGAGTATTGTGTCATACGGTGTAGTTCAGAGATGTCTCTCTTACAAAGGACTGTGATGTTGTGGACGGTTTGCAGAACCACTCTCACTCACTCACTCACCTCAGGCAAGTGAGCTTGTTTAAAATTGCCTCTGTTCTCCAAGAAGTGAGTGAGTTTAGTTTTACGCCGCACTCAGCAATATTCCATCTATATGGCGGCGGTCTGTAAATAATCGGATCTGAATCAGACATCTCCCAGAAGTGGATGGGTACCCGGTGGTATAAGATGGTCTCATGATATGCTTGGGCAAACCGGGCTTACATAATGTGTGCGCTATCCGCATAATTTGTGCCAGTGCCACTGAGCGTGTTTGAGGTGGATATCAAGCGCTCGACAAATACGTCACAATCTCAACAGCAATATCAAGGAGAGAATTTATGGATGTCAACTTCTTCATTGAATACCCGTGAAGATCCGGGTTACAACTGATCTTCAGTAACCCATGCTTGTCGTAAGAGCCGACTAACGAGATCGGGTGGTCGGGCTCGCTGGCTTGGTTGACACATGTCATCGTATCCCACCTGCGTAGATCGATGCTCATGGTGTCGATCACTGGATTGTCTGGTCCAGACTCGATTATTTACTGAACGCCGTCATATAGCTGGAATATTGCCGAGTGCGGCCTAAAACTAAACTCACTCACTCATTGAAAGGAACAAAGCCTTTAGGGTTATATCCATACTTCAAAGACGCCGAGCTTCTCTCCATTATGACACAAGTATATATACATTCTCTCCATTATGACACAAGTATATATACATTCTCTCCATTATGACACAAGTATATATACATTCTCTCCATTATGACACAAGTATATATACACATTCTCTCCATTATGACACAAGTATATATACATTCTCTCCATTATGACACAAGTATATATACACATTCTCTCCATTATGACACAAGTATATACACATTCTCTCCATTATGACACAAGTATATATACATTCTCTCCATTATGACACAAGTATATATACATTCTCTCCATTATGACATACATTCTCTCCATTATGATATACATTCTCTCCATTATGACACAATATGACAACAAGTATATATATACATTCTCTCCATTATGACACAAGTATATACATTCTCGCACCAACACGGAACGTAAACCGTCGTACATACCGCGACAGTTCCATCTTTGGTCATGGAGACGTCAGTGTGGATACTTACACTCCACGTCGTGGTTCAGACCTTGTCGTCCTCATGTCGGTGAAGGTGAGTTTATGCCTTATCATGTACTAGATGAGTATATGCCTTTTCATGTACTAGGTAGGTATATGCCTTATCATGTACTAGGTGAGTATATGCCTTATCATGTACTCAGATGAGTATATGCCTTTTCATGTACTAGGTAGGTATATGCCTTTATCATGTACTCAGGTGAGTATATGCCTTTATCATGTACTAGGTAGGTATATGCCTTATCATGTACCTCGTTGGGTATATGCCTTATCATGTACTCAGGGTGAGTATATGCCTTTTCATGCACTAGGTAGGTATATGCCTTATCATGTACTAGGTGATTATATGCCCTATAATGTAACTAGATGGGTATATGCCTTATCATGTACTAGGTGAGTATATGCCTTCCATGTACCTAGGTAGGTATATGCCTTATCATGTACTTAGGTGAGTATATGTCTTATCATGTACTAGATGAGTATATGCCTTTTCATGTACTAGGTAGGTAAATGCCTTATCATGTACTAGGTGAGTATATGCCTTATCATGTACTAGGTGAGTATATGCCTTTTCATGTACTCAGGGTGAGCATATGCCTTATCATGTACTAGATGAGTATATGCCTTATGCCTTTCATGTACTCAGGTGAGTATATGCCTTATCATGTACCAGTTGGGTATATGCCCCTATCATGCACTAGGTGAGTATATGCCTTATCATGTACTAGATGAGTATATGCCTTTCATGTACTAGTTGGGTATATGCCCTATCATGTACTAGGTGAGTATATGCCTTTATCATGTACTAGGTGAGTATATGCCTTTTCATGTACTAGGTAGGTATATGCCTTTATCATGTACTAAGGTGAGTATATGCCTTATCATGTACTAGGTGAGTATATGCCTTTTCATGTACCTTAGCTGAGTATATGCCTTATCATGTACTATTAGTTGGGTATATGCCTTATCATCATGTACTAGATGAGTATATGCCTTATCATGTACTAGATGAGTATATGAGTTATCATGTAATTAGTTGGGTATATGCCTTTTCATGTACTAGGTGAGTATATGCCTTATCATGTACTAGATGAGTATATGCCTTTCATGTACTTAGATGAGTATATGAGTTATCATGTGCACTAGATGAGCATATGCCTTTTCATGTACCAGGTGAGTATATGCCTTATCATGTACTAGTTGGGTATATGCCTTATCATGTACTAGATGAGTATATGCCTTTTCATGTACTAGGTAGGTATATGCCTTATCATGTACTAGGTGAGTATATGCCTTATCATGTACTAGATGCGTATATGCCTTTCTCATGTACTCAGGTAGGTATATGTCTTATCATGTACTAGGTAGGTATATGCCCTTATCATGTACTAGATGAGTATATGCCTTTCATGTACTAGGTGAAGTATATGCCTTATCATGTACTAGTTGGGTATATGCCCTATCATGTACTCAGATGAGTATATGCCTTTTCATGTAATTAGGTGAGTATATGCATTATCATGTACTAGTTGGGTATATGCCTTATCATGTACTTGATGAGTATATGCCTTTCATGTACTAGGTAGGTATATGCCTTATCATGTACTAGGTGAGTATATGCCTTATCATGTACTAGATGAGCATTTGCCTTTTCATGTACTATTAGGTGAGTATATGCCTTATCATGTACTAGATGAGTATATGAGTTATCATGTACTAGTTGGGTATATGCCTTATCATGTACTAGGTAGGTATATGCCTTATCATGTACTAGATGAGTATATGAGTTATCATGTACATAGGTGAGTATATGCCTTATCATGTACTAGGTGAGTATATGCCTTATCATGTACTAGGTGAGTATAGGCCTTATCATGTACTAGGTGAGTATATGCCGAATCGTGTACTAGGTGAGTATATGCCTTATCATGTACTAGGTGAGTATATGCCTTATTGTGTACTAGGTGAGTATATGCCTTATCATGTACTGCAGGGTGAGTATATGCCTTATCATGCACTAGGTGAGTATATGCCTTATCGTGTACCTAGTTGGGCATATGCCTAATCACGGTCTAGGTGTGTATATACCCAATCACGGACTAGGTGAGTCTTTCTCACACACAATCTCCATTTATAACTCTGTTAGGAACCGTTCATAATTTATGGTTGTGTGTGAGTGTGTGTGTGTGAGAGAGAGAGAGAGAGAGAGAGAGAGAGAGAGAGAGAGAGGGAGAGGGAGAGAGAGAGAGAGAGAAAGAGAGAGAGAGAGAGCAGCTGTGTGTGTGTGTATGTGTGTGTGTCTGTGTCTGTGTGTGTAAGAGAGAGAGAGAGAGGAGAGAGAGTGAGTGAGAGAGAGAGTGTCTGTGTGTGTGTGTATATGTGTGTGTGTGTGTGTGTGTGTGTATGTGTGTGTGTGTGATATGATGAAGATGATTTTTATGGAGAAGCATGGTCCCTCCCCAAAATTTATGTACAAGATAAGTGACCCTCTGCCCCCTGCATGTCATGTACAAAATAAATGACTGCCACACCTCTTCCCATAATTTCTAAGCATAATTGTAAACATAATTTTATGTACGAAACTGCTGCACCCTCTCCAGTAAGTGTGTATGCCACCTCTCCTGTCTCCTTCCACTCTTGATCTCCACCTCCACTCCGTCCTTCCACTCTCCTCTATTTGTCCACCTCTTTCACAATCCATCTATTCCACTCCTTCAGTCCTCCTTTCCTCCAGTCCTCCTTATTTTTCATTTGATCTCCTGTGCCAATCCACGTCTCTCCTTCCACTTCAATCTCTCTATTCCACAAGTCTTGTCCTCCTCTCTTTTCAGTCTCTCTATTACAGTTCCACAAGTCTCCACAAGTCTCATTGATCTCCCTCCAGTCTCTCCTCCTTTTCGTCCTCACCCAGTCTCACGTCTATTTTTAGTCTCCTGATCTCCCTCTCTCTGTGCCAGTCTCACAGTCTGTCTGTGCCGGTCTGTCTCCGGTCTCTCCTGTGCCTCCTTCGGTCCTCGTGCCAGTCACTGCCAGTCTCCAGTCTCTGTGCCTCCACAAGTCTCCTTCCACAGTCTCTGTTGATCTCCAGTCCTCTGTGCCTCCTTCCTCCACTGGTCCTCTGTTGTCTCCGTCTTTCCTCCGCCTGTGTCTCTGTGCCAGTCTCACAGTCGTCTGGTTGATCACTGCCAGTCTGTGCCCGGTCCGGTCTCGGTCTCGTGCCGGTCTGTTGAAGTCCGGTCCTCGTGCCGGTCCGCCTGGTCGTCTGCCGGTCATTTTGTCTGATCCTGCCAGTCCTCCACAGTCTGTGCCAGTCTCCTCTGTGCCGGTTCGGTCGTGCCGGTCTTTTCCTCGGTCATTCCACTGGTCTTGGGTCCTCCGCAGTCCGGTCATGGGGATCTGTGCCTCTCTCGTGCCAGTCTCTTCGGTCGTGTCCGGCCAGTCTTCGGTCACCGGTCGTGTGCCGGTCACCGGTCGGTCCGGTCAGTCTGGTCTATTTTCAGTCGTTACCCGGTCTGTGTCCCGGTCTGCGTTGTTGCCGGTCTCGTGGCCAGTCGTCTGTGGCCAGTCCGTCTCTGTGCCGTCCACTCTTCAGTCGTGATCTGGTCTGCTGCCTCTCTATCTACCCAATCTACCTCTATTACACAATCTCTCTATTACCCAATCCACTTCTCCAACACAATGTCTCTCCTATTACCCACCTACCTCTCCTTTTCACAATTCTCTCTATATAACCCACCTACTCCTCTCCCACACAATCTCTCTATTACCCAATCTACCTCTCACACACAATCTCTCTATTACCCACTCTCCCTCTCACACACAAACTCTCTATTACCCAATCTACCTCTCTCACACACACTACTTCTATTCCCTCCAGTCTAACTTCTCACACACAATCTCTCTATTACCCAATCTCCCTCTCCCACACAATCTCTCTATTACCCAATCTACCTCTCACACACAATCTCTCTATTACCCAATCTACCTCTCCCACACGATCTCCTATTACCTTTGATCTACCTCTCTCCACACAATCTCTATTTTCCACTCCTCTCTTAACACACCTCTCCTATTACCCAATCTACCTCTCCCACACGCATCTCTCTATAACCCAATCTACCTCTCCCACACAATCTCTATTACCCAATCCTCCTCCTGCACACAATCTCTATTACCTGTCTCTCTCACACACAATCTCTCTATTATCCAGTCTAACTCTCTGCACACACAATCTCTATTACCCACCCTCCCTCTCCCACACAGTCTCTCTATTACCCAATCTACACTCTCACACACACTCTCTCTCTATTACCCAATCTACTCTCTAACACACGATCTCCTATTACCCAATCTACCTCTCCCACACAATCTCTATTTTCCACCTACCTCTAACACACGATCTCCTATTACCCAATCTACCTTCTCCCACGCAATCTCTATAACCCAATTACCTCTCCCACACAATCTCTATTACCCAATCTACCTCTCACACACACAATCTCTATTACCCAATTCACCTCTCCCACACACAATCTCTATTACCTAATCTACCTCTCACACACACAATCTCTCTTTAACCTAATCTACCTCTCTATACACGATCTCATTATTACCCAATCTCTGTCTCACTTGAATCTCTCTGTCGTACCCTTTGGTCTCTCTCACTCATCTCCCCTTATGCTTTCACTATTTTCCTCTCATATATGTCCAGTACTGACTTCCTCTCACCACCCCCTGACTAATATGTGTGTTTTAGGTACAATCTGCCCCAGTATATCTGTTCAGTCAGGTTTACCTGTGTTTTAGGTACAATCTGCCCCAGTATATCTGTTCAGTCAGGTTTACCTGTGTTTTAGTGCAATCTGCTCCAGTATATCTGTTCAGTCAGGTTTACCTGTGTTTTGGTACAGTCTGCCCCAAGTATATCTGTTCACTCAGGATTACCTGTGTTTTAAGGAGAATCTGCCCCTGTATATATGTTCAGTGAGGCTTTACCTGTGTTTTAGGTGCAGTCTGCTCCAGAATATCTGTTCAGTTAGGTTTATCTGTGTGTTAGGTACAGTCTGCCCCAGTATATCTGTTCAGTCAGGTTTACCTGTGTTTAAGGTACAATCTGCCCCAGTCTATCTGTTCAGTCAGGTTTACTTGTGTTTTAGGTACAATCTGTTCCAGAATATCTGTTCAGTCAGGTTTTACCTGTGTTTTAGGTACAATCTGCTCCAGAATATCTGTTCATTCAGGTTTACCTGTGTTTTAGGTACAATCTGCCCCAGTCTATCTGATCAGTCAGGTTTACCTTTGTTTTAGGTACAATCTGCTCCAGAATATCTGTTCATTCAGGTTTATCTGTGTGTTAGGTACAGTCTGCCCCAGTATATCTGTTCAGTCAGGTTTACCTGTGTTTTTGGCACAATCTGCCCCAGTATATCTGTTCAGTCAGGTTTACCTGTGTTTTAGGTACAATCTGCCTTAGTGTATCTGTTCAGTCAGGTTTACCTTTGTTTTAGGAACAATCTGCTCCAGAATATCTGTTCAGTCAGGTTTACCTGTGTTTTAGGTACAATCTGCCCCAGTATATCTGTTCAGTCAGGTTTACCTGTGGTTAAGGTACAATCTGCCCCAGTACATCTGTTCAGTCAGGTTTATCTGTGTTTTAGGTACAATCTGCCCCAGTATATCTGTTCAGTCAGGTGTATCTGTGTTTTAGGTACAATCTGCCCCAGTATATCTGTTCAGTCAGGTTTACCTGTGGTTAAGGTACAATCTGCCCCAGTACATCTGTTCAGTCAGGTTTATCTGTGTTTTAGGTACAATCTGCCCCAGTATATCTGTTCAGTGAGGTTTATCTGTGTTTTTAGGTACAATCTGCCCCAGTATATCTGTTCAGTCAGGTTTATCTGTGTTTTAGGTACAATCTGCCCCAGTATATTTGTTCATTCAGTTTTACCTGTGTTTTAGGTGCAATCTGCTCCAGTATATCTGTTCAGTCAGGTTTATCTGTGTTTTAGGTACAATCTGCCCCAGTCTATCTGTTCAGGCAGGTTTATCTGTGTTTTTAGGTACAATCTGCCCCAGTATATATGTTCAATCAGGTTTACCTGTGTTTTAGGTACAATCTGCTCCAGTATATCTGTTCAGTCAGGTGTTCCTGTGTTTTAGGTACCATCTGTTTCAGTATATCTGTTCAGTCAGGTGTTCCTGTGCTTTAGGTACAATCTGACCCAGTATATCTGTTCAGTGAAGTTGATCTGTATTTTAGGTTCAATCTGCCTTAGTATATCTGTTCAGTCAGTTTTCCCTGTGTTTTAGGTACAATCTGCCTTAGTATATCTGTTCAGTCAGTTTTCCTGTGTTTTAGGTACAATCTGCCCATGTATATTTGTTCATTCAGTTTTACCTGTGTTTTAGGTGCAATCTGCTCCAGTATATCTGTTCAGTCAGGTTTATCTGTGTTTTAGGTACAATCTGCCCCAGTCTATCTGTTCAGGCAGGTTTATCTGTGTTTTTAGGTACAATCTGCCCCAGTATATATGTTCAATCAGGTTTTACCTGTGTTTTAGGTACAATCTGCTCCAGTATATCTGTTCACTCAGGTGTTCCTGTGTTTTAGGTACAATCTGCCCTAGTATATCTGTTCAGTCAGGTTTACCTGTGTTTTTTAGGTAGAATCTGCCCCAGTATATCTGTTCAGTCAGGTTTACCTTTGTTTTAGGTACGATCATAATGTCACCAGAGAAGGGGTAAATACAGAAGGGAAGAGCTACATCTTTACCTGCACGCGCAGTCAACCCAAGCCGTCTGCACCGTTGGTGATTTTTAAACAGGGTGATACCACCTACTGTCGGTTTGACGCCAATAATGGAACAATGTTGACAGACGTAATGGGACGAGAGTGTGGTGAAACAGGGACGACTTCCAAATTTTATTTCAAATTACTTCGCACGTATCGGAACCATTCAAGTACGGACTGGACATGTCAGTCTGGGGAACAGAAGAGCAACAATGCGAGATTAGATGTGTGAAGTGAGTTGACCGTCTGTCTCTTTCCTCGCTCTACAGCCCTCGCTCTGACTCACTGTCTGTCTCTGTCCATCTGTCTGTCTGTTTTTTACCCTTATTGGTGTCTCTCACTCCTCTCTCTCTCACACAAACTTAATGCTAGTATCTTTCTCTCTCTCACTCACTGTCTCTCATGTCTCTCTCCTCTGTCTCATATCTCTCTGATTCTCTCACACTCACTCGTACTCTCTCATACATGTATTTGTTTCACTCTCTCTGACGCTTACTCTCTCTCACTCGCCCACTGTGTCTCACTCTCTTCTTTCTCTCACTTACTCCTCTCTCTCTCACCCGGTTGTACTGAATGTCACAGTGAAGACTGTACAATTCCACTGTTCCAGACCCCCGGCTATAACACAGTTTACGGCAAACGGTGTATCCAACGTCTCCGAGGTCGACATCAACGACACTGTCACTATGCTTTGTCGGTATGAAGGACAGCCTCGCCGACGTCATTATCAGGAAGCAGAGTCGGAGTCTACAAACCGTAGTCAACGATGCCGCTGTACAGTCCACTGTGAAACCAGTGAGTTGTCACGATATGGCGAGGTATGAGTGCCGGGCGTCAAACAGATTTGGATCCGTGTCATCAGATATTAAAATGTTCGTCAGATGTAAGTAAACCTGCAGGTTTTAGTTCACGCCAGTCAGTCTGCGTCCGTTGCCTTCAGTTCGTGTAGCATTCAGGTTAATCGGGATCATACGGCTTCACTCGGCTTTACTCGGGTTCACTCGGCATGTTTTGCGGAAAACTACGCCCACTCACCCGCCGACTGATGATCACTTATGACCCGGAATTGTCTTCACGTGCTTAACAAAACATATTTTGCATTTTACTTGAAAACAAACAGCCATATCGGGTTCCAGAAATCTCGTAATCGTGACATGACTTAAAAAGTTAGTATTTATATGAAAAGGTTTTGACAGAAATATTGGTCAACAGAAATTACTTTACCTCCAAGGAATAGCACATTGCGCATGCGTGGCGTTAGTGGAGCACGTGAAAACTATCAGATGTGTTTGGCTGTTGTGCTTTATAGATAAACGTTGTTTCTTACACTTTCTGTCTGCAACATATACTCTCCATACATAATACTTTTCTGCAACACATAGAGTCCATGGATGTTGTGTAGGTGACACAAATAGCACGGAAACTTGGGAAAATCAACATGCAAATGTTTTCTTTTCATAGGCGGATCCAGGAATTTTTAAATGGGTGTGGTGAATGTAGGGTTTCGAACCTCCAGGCTCCGCCAATGCAAAACAATGTGTACGTAATTTAAGCTGTAGCCCACTCCCTCACTCAAACCCACCCGCCCACTCACTCACTCTCACACTCACTAACTCACTCACTCTCACACTCACTAACTCACTCACACTCACTCACTCACTCACTCACACTCACTCACTCACTCACTCACTCACTCCACTCACTGCTCACTGACTCACTCCAGGTCCTCCGCCCCCTGAAGGAAGAACCACAACGTCCCTTGAAGGTGACGTGACCCTCACCCTGACAGTCATGGCGTATCCAGCGCCGACCTTCACCTGGTTTCACCCTCTTGGAAACATGGTAGACGTTAACAACGGTTCTCTCACCAAAGACCTGAACGTTATCAGCAGGATTACAATCAGATCTGTCACCGAAGATGACCTTGGAGTGTATAAGGTTATTGTGAAAACGACATTGGATCAAACAATTTCACCGTCTTACTCGCCAGAGAAGGTTAGCTCAAAGGTTATCTATCTATTTATCTGTCTATCTGTCTGTCTGTCTGGTGTCTGTCTTTCTGTCTATCGATCCATCCATCCACCCATACCCACCCAATCCATCCATCCATCCATCTATCTATTTGACTGTCTATCTATCCATCCATCTATCCATCCATCTATCTATTCATCCATCTATCCTTGGATCCACTTTGACGCTGAACTTCCAAAGTGGCGGTCAAGGTCAATGTCATCCATCCATTAGTGAAGGTCCATGTCATTATCCGTTAACATTTAATACATATACACACACAGTCGCCCATTTCCAGGGTGTCCCACCATGATACTTCTGGAGGTTTGGCTAACATCGGCTTATTTCACGGATTAAAACTAAAGATGTGTTGGTTTCCAGAGCCTGTGAGTGGAGGACTGGTCACCGGGCTTGTTATCGGCGGGATTCTACTTCTGGTGCTTATAGTTGTCGCCGTCGTCTTGATCAACAGACACTCCAGGGACAACGACAACGGTAAGTGTCACCTGTGATGTCACCTTCTCTAATGACTGAGATTACATCACGTATGATGTCACCTGTGTTGACTGAGATAACACCACACATGATGTCACCTGTGTTGTCTGAGATTACGCCACACATGATGCCACCTGTGTTGACTGAGAATACACCACACGTGATGTCACCTGTGTTGACTGAGAATACACCACACATGATGTCACCTGTGTTGACTGAGATTACATCAAGTATGATGTCACCTGTGTTGACTGAGATTACACCACACGTGATGTCACCTGTGTTGACTGAGATTACACCACACATGATTTCACCTGTGTTGACTGAGACTACACCACACATGATTTCACCTGTGTTGACTGAGATTACACCACACATGATGTCACCTGTGTTGACTGAGATTACACCACACGTGATGTCACCTGTGTTGACTGAGATTACACCACACATGATTTCACCTGTGTTGACTGAGATTACACCACACATGATTTCACCTGTGTTGACTGAGATTGCACACACGTGATGTCACCTGTGTTGACTGAGATTACACCACACATGATGTCACCTGTGTTGACTGAGATTACACCACACATGATGTCACCTGTGTTGACTGAGATTACACCACACATGATGTCACCTGTGTTGACTGAGATTACACCACACATGATTTCACCTGTGTTGACTGAGATTACGCCACACATGATGTCACCTGTGTTGACTGGAGATTACACCACACATGATGTCACCTGTGTTGACTGAGATTACACCACACATGATGTCACCTGTGTTGACTGAGATTACACCACACATGATGTCACTTGTGTTGACTGAGATTACACCACACACATGATTTCACCTGTGTTGACTGAGATTACACCACACATGATTTCACCTGTGTTGACTCGAGATTGCACCACACGTGATGTCACCTGTGTTGACTGAGATTACACCACACATGATTTCACCTGTGTTGACTGAGACTACGCCACACATGATGTCACCTGTGTTGACTGGAGATTACACCACACATGATGTCACCTGTGTTGACTGAGATTACACCACACGTGATGTCACCTGTGTTGACTGAGATTACACCACACATGATTTCACCTGTGTTGACTGAGATTACACCACACATGATTTCACCTGTGTTGACTGAGATTGCACCACACGTGATGTCACCTGTGTTGACTGAAGATTACACCACACATGATGTCACCTGTGTTGACTGAGATTACACCACACATGATGTCACCTGTGTTTGACTGAGATTACACCACACATGATTTCACCTGTGTTGACTGAGACTACGCCACACATGTCACCTGTGTTGACAGAGATTACACCACACATGATGTCACCTGTGTTGACTGAGAGTTACACCACACGTGATGTCACCTGTGTTGACTGAGATTACACCACACATGATTTCACCTGTGTTGACTGAGATTACACCACACATGATTTCACCTGTGTTGACTGAGATTGCACCACACGTGATGTCACCTGTGTTGACTGAGATTGCACCACACATGATGTCACCTGTGTTGACTGAGATTACACCACACGTGATGTCACCTGTGTTGACTGAGATTACACCACACATGATGTCACCTGTGTTGACTGAGATTACACCACACATGATTTCACCTGTGTTGACTGAGATTACGCCACACATGATGTCACCTGTGTTGACTCAGATTACGCCACACATGATGTCACCTGTGTTGACTGAGATTACACCACACATGATGTCACCTGTGTTGACTGAGATTACACCACACATGATGTCACCTGTGTTGACTGAGATTACACCACACATGATGTCACTTGTGTTGACTAAGATTACACCACACATGATTTCACCTGTGTTGACTGAGATTACACCACACATGATTTCACCTGTGTTGACTGAGATTTCACCACACGTGATGTCACCTGTGTTGACTGAGATTACACCACACGTGATGTCACCTGTGTTGACTGAGATTACACCACACGTGATGTCACCTGTGTTGACGGAGATTACACCACACATGATATCACCTGTGTTGACTGAGATTACACCACACATGATGTCACTTGTGTTGACTGAGATTACACCACACATGATTTCACCTGTGTTGACTGAGATTGCCCCTCACGTGATGTCACCTTTGTTGACTGAGATTACACCACACATGATGTCACTTGTGTTGACTGAGATTACACTACACGTGATGTCACCTGTGTTGACTGAGACTACACCACATGATTTCACCTGTGTTGACTGAGATTACACCACACATGATTTCACCTGTGTTGACTGGAGATTACACCACACATGATGTCACCTGTGTTGACTGAGATTACGCCACACATGATTTCACCTGTGTTGACTGAGACTACGCCACACATGATGTCACCTGTGTTGACTGAGATTACACCACACATGATGTCACCTGTGTTGACTGGAGATTACGCCACACATGATGTCACCTGTGTTGACTGAGATTACACCACACATGATGTCACCTGTGTTGACTCAGATTACACCACACATGATGTCACCTGTGTTGACTGAGATTACACCACACATGATGTCACTTGTGTTGACTGAGATTACACCACACGTGATGTCACCTGTGTTGACTGAGATTACACCACACATGATTTCACCTGTGTTGACTGAGATTGCAACACACGTGATGTCACCTGTGTTGACTGAGATTACACCACACGTGATGTCACCTGTGTTGACTGAGATTACACCACACGTGATGTCACCTGTGTTGACTGAGATTGCACCACACATGATATCACCTGTGTTGACTGAGATTACACCACACGTGATGTCACCTGTGTTGACTGAGATTGCACTACACACGTGATGTCACCTGTGTTGACTGAGACTACACCACACATGATTTCACCTGTGTTGACTGAGGATTACACCACACATGATTTCACCTGTGTTTACTGAGATTACACCACACATGATGTCACCTGTGTTGACTGAGATTACACCACACATGATTTCACCTGTGTTGACTGAGATTGCACCACGTGATGTCACCTGTGTTGACTGAGATTACACCACACGTGATGTCACCTGTGTTGACTGAGATTACACCACACGTGATGTCACCTGTGTTGACGGAGATTGCACCACACGTGATGTCACCTGTGTTGACTGAGACTACACCAAACATGATTTCACCTGTGTTGACTGAGATTACACCACACATGATGTCACCTGTGTTGACTGAGATTACGCCACACATGATTTCACCTGTGTTGACTGAGACTACACCACACATGATGTCACCTGTGTTGACTGAGATTACACCACACATGATATCACCTGTGTTGACTGAGATTACACCACACATGATGTCACTTGTGTTGACTGAGGTTACACCACACATGATGTCACCTGTGTTGACTGAGATTACGCCACACATGATTTCACCTGTGTTGACTGAGACTACACCACACATGATGTCACCTGTGTTGACTGAGAATACACCACACATGATGTCACTTGTGTTGACTGAGATTACACCACACGTGATGTCACCTGTGTTGACTGAGACTACACCACACATGATTTCACCTGTGTTGACTGAGATTACACCACACATGATTTCACCTGTGTTGACTGAGATTACGCCACACATGATGTCACCTGTGTTGACTGAGAGATTACACCACACATGATGTCACCTGTGTTGACTGAGATTACACCACATGATGTCACCTGTGTTGACTGAGATTACACCACACATGATGTCACTTGTGTTGACTGAGATTACACCACACGTGATGTCACCTGTGTTGACTGAGACTACACCACACATGATTTCACCTGTGTTGACTGAGATTACACCACACATGATTTCACCTGTGTTGACTGAGATTACACCACACATGATGTCACCTGTGTTGACTGGGACTACGCCACACATGATGTCACCTGTGTTGACTGAGATTACACCACACATGATATCACCTGTGTTGACTGAGATTACGCCACACATGATGTCACCTGTGTTGACTGAGACTACGCCACACATGATGTCACCTGTGTTGACTCAGATTACACCACACATGATGTCACCTGTGTTGACTGAGATTACACCACACATGATGTCACTTGTGTTGACTGAGATTACACCACACATGATTTCACCTGTGTTGACTGAGATTACACCACACATGATGTCACCTGTGTTGACTGAAGATTGCACCACACGTGATGTCACCTGTGTTGACTGAGATTACACCACACGTGATGTCACCTGTGTTGACTGAGGATTACACCACATATGATGTCACATGTGTTGTTTCTGAGATTACACCACACATGATTTCACCTGTGTTGACTGAGATTACACCACACATGATATCACCTGTGTTGACTGAGATTACGCCACACATGATGTCACCTGTGTTGACTGAGACTACGCCACATGATGTCACCTGTGTTGACTGAGATTACACCACACATGATGTCACCTGTGTTGACTGAGATTACACCACACATGATGTCACTTGTGTTGACTGAGATTACACCACACATGATTTCACCTGTGTTGACTGAGGATTACACCACACATGATTTCACCTGTGTTGACTGAGATTGCACCACACGTGATGTCACCTGTGTTGACTGAGATTACACCACACGTGATGTCACCTGTGTTGACTGAGATTGCACCACACATGATATCACCTGTATTGACTGAGATTACACCACACGTGATGTCACTTGTGTTGACTGAGATTACACCACACATGATTTCACCTGTGTTGACTGAGATTGCCCTCACGTGATGTCACCTTTGTTGACTGAGGATTACACCACACATGATGTCACTTGTGTTGACTGGATTACACCACACGTGATGTCACCTGTGTTGACTGAGACTACACCACACATGATTTCACCTGTGTTGACTGAGACTACACCACACATGATTTCACCTGTGTTGACTGAGATTACACCACACATGATTTCCACCTGTGTTGACTGAGATTACACCACACATGATGTCACCTGTGTTGACTGGGACTACACGCCACATGATTTCACCTGTGTTGACTGGGACTACGCCACACATGATGTCACCTGTGTTGACTGAGGATTACACCACACATGATATCACCTGTGTTGACTGAGGATTACGCCACACATGATGTCACCTGTGTTGACTGAGACTACGCCACACATGATGTCACCTGTGTTGACTCAGATTACACCACACATGATGTCACCTGTGTTGACTGGGATTACGCCACACATGATGTCACTTGTGTTGACTGAGGATTACACCACACATGATCTCACCTGTGTTGACTGAGATTACACCACACATGATTTCACCTGTGTTGACTGGGATTGCACCACACGTGATGTCACCTGTGTTGACTGAGATTACACCACGTGATGTCACCTGTGTTGACTGAGATTACACCACACGTGATGTCACCTGTGTTGACTGAGATTGCACCACACATGATATCACCTGTGTTGACTGAGGATTACACCACACATGATGTCACCTGTGTTGACTGAGATTGCACCACACGTGATGTCACCTGTGTTGACTGAGACTACACCACACATGATTTCACCTGTGTTGACTGAGATTACACCACACATGATTTCACCTGTGTTGACTGAGATTACACCACACATGATGTCACCTGTGTTGACTGAGATTACACCACACATGATTTCACCTGTGTTGACTGAGACTACGCCACACATGATGTCACCTGTGTTGACTGAGATTACACCACACATGATATCACCTGTGTTGACTGGAGATTACACCACACGTGATGTCACCTGTGTTGACTGGAGATTGCACCACACGTGATGTCACCTGTGTTGACTGAGAGACTACACCACACATGATTTCACCTGTGTTGACTGAGATTACACCACACATGATTTCACCTGTGTTGACTGAGATTACACCACACGTGATGTCACCTGTGTTGACTCAGATTGTCCCACACATGATATCACCTGTGTTGACTGAGATTACACCACACATGATGTCACCTGTGTTGACTGAGATTACACCACACATGATGTCACCTGTGTTGACTGAGATTACACCACACATGATGTCACCTGTGTTGACTCAGATTGTCCCCACATGATATCACCTTTGTTGACTGAGATTACACCACACATGATGTCACCTGTGTTGACTGAGATTACACCACACACGTGATGTCACCTGTGTTGACTGAGATTACACCACACATGATGTCACCTGTGTTGATTGAGATTACACCACGCGTGATGTCACCTGTGTTGACTGAGATTGTCCCACACATGATATCACCTGTGTTGACTGAGATTACACCACACGTGATGTCACCTGTGTTGACTGAGATTACACCACACATGATGTCACCTGTGTTGACTCAGATTACACCACACATGATGTCACCTGTGTTGACTGAGATTGCCCTCACGTGATGTCACCTTTGTTGACTGAGATTACACCACACGCGATGTCACCTGTGTTGACCTGTGTTATCAAGGAGTACTTGGCTGTACTGGAATTGTAATACTTACATTGCTGCCTTGCATGCCATACGAAATGGATACGACGTCAAATGCTTTGAATGTTGCACTCCCTTTGCCTGACATAGTTGCACTCCCATTGCCTGACATAGTTGCACTCCCTTTGCCTGACATAGTTGCACTCCCATTGCCTGACATAGTTGCACACCCATTGCCTGACACAGTTGCACACCCATTGCTTGACATAGTTGCACACGCATTGCCTGACATAGTTGCATACCCATTGCCTGACACAGTTGCAGACCCATTGTTTGACATAGTTGCACACGCATTGCCTGATATAGTTGCACACCCGGGGTCCCGTTGTCTGACATAGTTGCACACCGATTGCTTGACATAGTTGCACCCATTGCCTGACATAGTTGCACACCCATTGCTTGACATAGTTGCACACCCGTTGCCTGATATAGTCGCACACCCGGGGCCCATTGCCTGACATCGTTGCACTCCCATTGCCTGACGTAGTTGCACACGCATTACCTGACATAGTTGCACAACCATTGCCTGACGTAGTTGCACACCTATCGCCCGCTGACATAGTTGCACACCCATTGCCTGATGCAGTTGCACACCCGGGGCCCGTTGTCTGACATAGTTGCGCTCCCATTGTCTGACATAGTTGCAGATGCATTACCTGACATAGTTGCACACGCATTGCTTGACATAGTTGCACACGCATTGCCTGACATAGTTGCACACCCATTGCATGATATAGTTGCACACCCAGGGGCCCGTTGTCTGACATAGTTGCAAACCGATTGCTTCACATAGTTGCACACCAATTGTCTGACATAGTTGCACATCCATTGCCTGACATAGTTGCACACCCATCGCCTGATTTAGTTGCACACCCATTGCTTGACATAGTTGCAAACCCATTGCCTGACATAGTTGCGCTCCCATTGTCTGACATAGTTGCAGATGCATTACCTGACATAGTTGCACACCCATTGCTTGACATAGTTGCACACCGCATTGCCTGACATAGTTGCACACGCATTACCTGACATAGTTGCACATCCATTTGCCTGACATAGTTGCACACCTATCGCCTGACATAGTTGCAGACACATTGCCTGACATAGTTGCACACCCATTGCTTGACATAGTTCCACACCCATTGCCTGACATAGTTGCACACCCATTACCTGACGTGGTTGCACACCCATTACCTGACATAGTTGCACACCCATTGCCTGATACAGTTGCACTCCCATTGCTTGACATAGGTGCACCCCAATTAACTGACATAATTGCACACCCATTGCCTGACATAATTGCACACCCATTGCCTGACATAATTGCACACCCATTGCCTGATATAGTTGCACACCCATTGCCTGATATAGTTGCACACCCATTTGCTTGACATAGTTGCACAGCCATTGCCTTACATAGTTGCACTCCCCAGATGTAACATGTAAAGAAAGGAGGATGTTACTGCCTAGGCCTTAGCTGTCTTGTAAAGCTTCACCTGTCGTCTGTCTACTGCCTTCATACCAGCACTCTGCCATATAGCTTGAATATTGCTGAGTGTGGCGTAAAACTAAACCTCACTCACACCAGCACTGGCACAGGAAAGAAACTTTTGATCACCTGAAATTTCACTGACACATAGCGAAGTAAATATAAAACTCTCCGGAAAAACGGAGATATGCACCCATGATAGATAATGACTAATTATAAATCACCGAGACAAGCAGGGCATTTAACACTAGGAGATATCGTATGAACTCACACAAGCAATATCTCCTGTGGAAAACAGTTTTGGATGATAAAGGGCATTCTGCTTTCAAATTTCCTTCCGGGAAAAGACTAAGGTGAAGTGACGTCATCGTTTCATTTTAATGAAAACATTCCAAGCACTGGGCAAACTTAACTCCTCCATTCTCTTTTTGTGATTTCAGACTTAGAAATGGACATGGTGGACAGTGCCGAAGAGGATGACGCAAACGGGAATCTGTATGCCAAGGTTAATAAACCACGTGAGTATTTTGTCTGACACAGTTTCACCACTTTTGTAGGTTTTCTGTCTGTCACTATCCAGAAAGACATGGTCATGAAGCTATGCCAAGGTTTATGAACCACGAGAATACTTCACCAAGCTTCTTGGGCTACAGATGTTGTACACACGTAGGGAACGATCCCAGTTCTTTGGTGCGATGAGCAAACACTTTAACCACTAGGCTACACCTCCCTGCCCTGAGATTGTGAAAGATGCCAGTGATTGCCAACACACTATTGCGACTTGTCTACTGTTTTAGCTGTGTCTATTCTACATGTGTAGAATGATACATTACCACTCTTGTGTTTTTCAAGGTGTTCTTTCCACATTCGTTTACATTTTTCTTACAGGTAAACAAGTTAGTGGTGGTTCCAATTTCAGGGAAGATCCAAGTCATATACACGTAGGTACCCATAAACTGAGCTGTTGAGTCATGGTGGAATGTTCGCGAATACCCAATGGTCAGTCCTTTAAACCACCCCTACGTTCCAGGAAGGTCAAAGTGAATGACTGACCTGGAAAGTTAAGCAGTTTGTAGTCAGCTGTTTTCTGTTTTAGTATAACATTTATGGTGTTGACAATTAGGGCTGCAACGAATTCGGTTCAATTCATCGAAAATCGAATTTGACACCTTAGTTTCGATTTTTGATATTCATTATCACTATTTCGATTCGATAATTGAATGCGTATAAACGTTATTTCCACTCAGCCAGAACTTAATTTTGACACCAACTTGAGCAGTTTCGAGCGCTGAAATAAAGTGAAACGTGATTGGTTGATGCCGGGCTAATTATCCAATGAGAATTGTTGCTAGGAGATATCGCCAAGATGACGATGGATTTCACGCTTAAAGAACCAACTCTGAAATTTATATGAAATCTGATTTTTTTTACTTTCTATGAAGAACTGAATAAAAAATGATTGAATCGAGGGTCCAATATCTAAAACAGAATCGAACTGGGGCCTGGGTGAACCGTTGCAGCCCTATTGACAATAATGTTGGTGATACTACAGAATTTCTGATGAAAATGACAATGGTACTGCTAACGTTGAATGTTGAGTTTTGTTACCATCCCTGACAACACGAGCTGTGAATGAAGAATAACTTAATGCAAGAAAATGAGTTGAATATTTTGAACCATAAGGCATCTACAGTGTATACATTACCTTAATGTCCACTGATTGTTATCTAGGCCACCCCCAACTTCCCAAAGTACGATCATGATGAATTAGGTTGTTTTGAGATTGTAGTAGTAGATGTGAGCCCCTATGGTCTGTTGTGCTGTTTCCATCGCTCGGGGGAAGCGATCCTGCAGATGGTTGCACACAATCTGTTGGCCTTGACATTGTGATGTCACTGAAGGTGACCCACTGCGTGAACTGTCTTGGATGCTGTTAGTGACCTGTTACTGCTCCTGCAGTCGTTAAATTGCTCAACATGAACGACAGTGAAAAAGCATCAATGCATGTGTATTGTCCTCCACTGTATGCATAGAGCGTCTTGCACGTGCAAATCATTGACACTAAGGAGTAGGTGAATTTTAATATTGACAATTTGAATAAAAAATGTACCATTTGTAACAGAATGCGTCGGACGTTAAAGAACGTAATAATGATATTTAAACGGCATGATGTGTTTTTCCATACTGATAAGAAAGTTTGTAAGCCATTCAGTTGTATATATTTCAAACAAAAACGAAGATCTTACAATTTTTAAGAAATAGTGTTACCAATAGCTTGATCCTTCATTAATGATGCTGAGTATATATTCATCTTGGTGTAGAGGTATAAACAAGCAAATACTGTTTTCAAACAAGTATTGAACCTAGCTGATATGCCATTTTTCTTCAATCTGGAAGGGTCGCAAGACAGGGGGTGGATGAAGACGACCTGCTCTACGTTAGCGTGGATGTTGAAGACCCACCAGACAGCAATGGTTTCGTACACAGTACTGATGATGCTACACAGTATGCCGACCTGGCCATCAACCAGACAGGAGCTCAAGACACAAACTAGCACCAAACAGGACTAATGATGCCACGCACTACATCGACCTGGCCATCAACCAGACAGGAGCTCAAGATATACACTAGCACCAGACAGGACTAATGATGCTACGCACTACATCGACCTGGCCATCAACCAGACAGCAACGGTTTCATACACAGATCTAATGATGCTAAACCGTGTGTTGACCAGGGCCCATTTTTCTGGTAGCATTCGTACTTGCTATACTGTAACATTGACTTACGATAGAACTAGCGCTTCAAGAGCTTTGTGAAACGGGGCCCTGGCCTCCAGTGAGACATTTTCATACAGAGTTGCTTACCCTAGTCGTGCCAGGATATACTGAACATGAGATCGAATCTCCAATTCGATTAAGATCCTTAGTTTGTCTCAAAGACACCCATGGAGGTCGGTTCCCCTAAGTTGAACATTGCTACTGTGAAAGAGTCATTTTGCCCCAGATACACCAATGTGATATCATTGTACAGTTGTATATCAGTAATTGATATTTTGTTCAGTTGTAACATTGACAAAGAATTCTCAAGAACAGACTACTATCACTCAGGGCGATACGTTTCGCTAAATAGTTATGTGGCGACAACCACCTGTTATTTACAACAATAACATTTCTTTGTAGAAATATGTTGTACAATTATAAATGTGTGTGAACGTTATTAAATGTGTGTATATATACTGTATATATGAATAAAGAATACAATATGCTCTCCTGAGTTACAAATAAACTTAGTATAACAATCCATTAATATGCGGATGAGGTGGAATTATACATCTGCACAGATACCTACTGTTGTATGTGTGGCGAGTGATACATCTACACAAATACCTACTGTTGTATGTGTGGCGAGTGATACACCTATACAAATACCTACTGTTGTATGTGTGGCGAGTGATACACCTATACAAATACCTACTGTTGTATGTGTGGAATTATACATCTGCACAGATACCTACTGTTGTATGTGTGGCGACTGATACATCTACACAAATACCTACTGTTGTATGTGTGGCGAGTGATACATCTACACAAATACCTACTGTTGTATGTGTGGAGAGTGATACATCTACACAAATACCTACTGTTGTATATGTGGCGAGTGATACATCTACACAAATACCTACTGTTGTATGTGTGAGAGTGATACATCTACACAAATACCTACTGTTGTATGTGTGGCGAGTGATACATCTATACAAATACCTCCTGTTGTATGTGTGGAGAGTGATACATCTACACAAATACCTCACTGTTGTATGTGTGGCGAGTGATACATCTACACAAATACCTGTTGTTGTATGTGTGGAGTGATACATCTACACAAATACCTACTGTTGTATGTGTGGCGAGTGATACATCTACACAAATACCTACTGTTGTATGTGTGGCGAGTGATACATCTACACAAATACCTACTGTTGTATGTGTGGCGAGTGATACATCTACACAAATACCTACTGTTGTATGTGTGGCGAGTGATACATCTACACAAATACCTACTGTTGTATGTGTGGCGAGTGATACATCTATACAAATACCTACTGTTGTATGTGTGGCGAGTGATACATCTACACAAATACCTACTGTTGTATGTGTGGCGAGTGATACATCTACACAAATACCTACTGTTGTATGTGTGGCGATGATACATGGCAAATACCTACATTGTATGTGTGGCAAATACATCTACACAAATTGTATGTTGTGTGGAGAGTGATACATCTACACAAATACCTACTGTTTGTATGTGGCGAGTGATAGTCTATACAAATCTATGTTGTATGTGTGGCGAAATACCTCTACACAAATACCTACTGTTGTATGTGTGGCGAGTGATACATCTATACAAATACCTACTGTTGTATGTGTGGCGAGTGATACATCTACACAAATACCTACTGTTGTATGTGTGGAGAGTGATACATCTACACAAATACCTACTGTTGTATGTGTGGCGAGTGATACATCTACACAAATACCTCCTGTTGTATGTGTGGCGAGTGATACATCTACACAAATGTGGCGTGGCGAGTGATACATCAAATGTTGTATGTGTGGCGAGTGATACATCTACACAAATACCTACTGTTGTATGTGTGGCGAGTGATACATCTACACAAATACCTACTGTTGTATGTGGTGTTGATACATCTACACAAATACCTACTGTTGTAGTGATACATCTACACAAATACCTACTGTTGTATGTGGCGAGTGATACATCTACACAAATACCTACTGTTGTATGTGTGGAGAGTGATACATCTACACAAATACCTACTGTTGTATGTGTGGCGAGTGATACATCTACACAAAAACCCTCGTGTTGTATGTGTGGCGAGTGATACATCTACACAAATACCTACTGTTGTATGTGTGGAGAGTGATACATCTATACAAATACCTCATGTTGTATGTGTGGAGAGTGATACATCTACACAAATACCTACTGTTGTATGTGTGGCGAGTGATACATCTACACAAAAACCTCGTGTTGTATGTGTGGCGAGTGATACATCTACACAAATACCTACTGTTGTATGTGTGGAGAGTGATACATCTACACAGATACCTACTGTTGTATGTGTGGCGAGTGATACATCTACACAAATACCTACTGTTGTATGTGTGGAGAGTGATACATCTACACAAATACCTACTGTTGTATGTGTGGCGAGTGATACATCTACACAAATACCTACTGTTGTATGTTGGCGATGGCGAGTGATACATCTACACAAATACCTACTGTTGTATGTGTGGCGAGTGATACATCTACACAAATACCTACTGTTGTATGTGTGTGGCGAGTGATACATCTACACAAATACCTACTGTTGTATGTGTGGCGAGTGATACATCTACACAAATACCTCGTGTTGTATGTGTGGCGTGTGGCGAGTGATACATCTACACAAATACCTACTGTTGTATGTGTGGAGAGTGATACATCTACACAGATACCTACTGTTGTATGTGTGGCGAGTGATACATCTACACAAATACCTACTGTTGTATCTGTGGAGAGTGATACATCTATACAAATACCTACTGTTGTATATGTGGCGAGTGATACATCTATACAAATACCTACTGTTGTATGTGTGGCGAGTGATACATCTACACAAATACCTACTGTTGTATGTGTGGAGAGTTATACATCTACACAAATACCTACTGTTGTATCTGTGGTGAGTGATACATCTATACAAATACCTACTGTTGTATATGTGGCGAGTGATACATCTACACAAATACCTCCTGTTGTATGTGTGGCGAGTGATACATCTACACAAATACCTACTGTTGTATGTGTGGAGAGTGATACATCTACACAGATACCTACTGTTGTATGTGTGGCGAGTGATACATCTACACAAATACCTACTGTTGTATGTGTGGCGAGTGATACATCTACACAAATACCTACTGTTGTATGTGTGGTGAGTGATACATCTACACAAATACCTACTGTTGTATGTGTATGGCGAGTGATACATCTACACAAATACCTACTGTTGTATGTGTGGTGAGTGATACATCTACACAAATACCTACTGTTGTATGTGTGGCGAGTGATACATCTACACAAATACCTACTGTTGTATGTGTGGCGAGTGATACATCTACACAAATGCCTACTGTTGTATGTGTGGCGAGTGATACATCTACACAAATACCTACTGTTGTATGTGTGGCGAGTGATACATCTACACAAATACCTACTGTTGTATGTGTGGCGAGTGATACATCTACACAAATACCTCCTGTTGTATGTGTGGAGAGTGATACATCTATACAAATACCTACTGTTGTATGTGTGGAGAGTGATACATCTACACAAATACCTACTGTTGTATGTGTGGCGAGTGATACATCTACACAAATACCTACTGTTGTATGTGTGGAGAGTGATACATCTATACAAATACCTACTGTTGTATGTGTGGCGAGTGATACATCTACACAGATACCTACTGTTGTATGTGTGGAGTGATACACCTATACAAATACCTACTGTTGTATGTGTGGCGAGTGATACATCTACACAAATACCTACTGTTGTATGTGTGGCGAGTGATACATCTACACAAATACTTACTGTATTTCATCCTTGGATCACATCATTACCCCAGGACCATAACATTCACCCTCTACAGGACTAAACACTCCCAGGGGTAGAAATATAGTTCAGGTTTAATGTACTGTAATGTGGAGGTTTGTTTTGGATATCGTTTCTTTTTAACATTATATTTATAAACAGATATTGCATAAGTACCAATCAAAACCAAACTGTGTAGCAGTTACTCTCTGTCGCCATTGTTCAGGTCTGAATGTTGTGTATATAGTACATGGTCAGATGTTACACTTGTGTATATCTGTTCATTGGGGCACCTGCTATTCTACAAGGTGACGATGGATCTGAGTTCACAGCCAAGATCATAGATGAACTTTCCCATTTTGTCCTGATCTAATTTATTATCCATGGTAAACCCCGTCATCTGCAATCTCAAGGTTCAGTTGAGCGTGCAAATTGTGATATGAAGGATATGCTGACTGCCTGGTTGGCTGACCACAAGACAACGGATTGGGCCATGGGCTTGAAGTTCGTCCAGTTCCAGAAGAACTCCAGTTATCCCAGTGGCATCAAGATGACACCCATTGCTACTTTCACTGGCTCCGATGACTCCAGTCTCCAAGAAAGGTAGTTTCTAGACGTTGAAGCGAGGATCAAGAGCCACAAGCGCACAACAATCGCAAGCACAACAAGAGCCGCAAGCAGAAGCAGAGCAACAACTAGAACAAGAGCCACAAGCAGAACCAGAGCTGCAAACAGAACCAGAACTGCAACCAGAACCAGAGCCACAACCAGAAACAGAGGCAACAACTAGAATAAGAGCCGCAAACCAGAACCAGAGCAACAACTAGAACCAGAGCCACAACCAGAACCAGAGCCACAACCAGAACCAGAGCCACAACTAGAACAAGAGCCGCAACCAGAACCAGAGCAACAGCTAGAACCAGAGCCACAACTTGAACGAGGCCCGCAACCAGAACCAGAGCCACAGCCAGAACCAGAGCCACAACCTGAATAAGAGCCACAGCCAGAACCGGGGCCACAACCAGAACAAGAGCCTGCAACCAGAACAAGAGCCACAACTTGAACCAGAGCCACAACTTGAACCAGAGCCACAATCCAGAACCAGAGCCACAACCAGGAACGAGAGCCACAACCAGGAACAAGAGTCACAACCAGAACCAGAGCCACAACCAGAACCAGAGCCACAACCAGAACCAGAGCCACAACCCAGGACGAGAGCCACAACCAGAACCAGAGCCACAACTTGAACCAGAGCCACAGCCAGAACAGAGAACCACAGCCAAAACCAGAGCCACAGCTTGAAAAGAGCCACAACCAGAACCAGAGCCGCAATCAGAACCAGAGCCACAACTTGAACCAGAGCCACAGCCAGAACCAGAGCCACAACAAGAACCAGAGCCACAACTTGAGACAGAGCCACAACCAGAAACAGAGCCACAACAGAACCAGAGCCACAACCAGAACGAGAGCCACAACCAGAACCAGGCCACGACCAGAACCCAGAGCCATAATCTTGAACAAGATCCACAGCAGAACCAAAGCCACAGCCAGAACCAGAGTCACAGCCAGAACGAGAGCCACAACCCTAACCAGAGCCACAACCAGAACAAGAGCCACAGCCAGAACCAGAGCCACAGCCAGAACCAGAGCCGCAACCAGAAAACAGAGCCACAGCTTGAACCAGAGCCACAGCCAGAACCAGAGCCACAGCCAGAACCAGATCAACAACCAGAACCAGAGCCTCAGCCAGGATCAGAGCCACAACCAGAACCAGAGCCACAACTTGAACGAGAGCCACAGCCAGAACCAGAGCCACAACTTGAACGAGAGCCACAACCAGAACCAGAGCCACAACCAGAACCAGAGCCGCAAACCAGAACCAGAGCCACAACCAGAACCATAGTAGCAACCAGAACCAGAGCCACAACCAGAACCAGAGCCAAAACCAGAACCAGAGTCACAGCCAAAACCAGAGAGCCACAACCAGAACCAGAGCCACAACCAGAACCAGAGCCACAATCAGAACCAGAGCCACAACCAGATCGAGCGCCACAACCAGAACAAGAACTGCAACCAGAACCAGAGCCACAACCAGAACAAGAGCCACAACCAGAAACAGAGCCACAACTTGAACTAGAGCCACAACCAGTACCAGGCAACAATCAGAACCAGAGCCATAATCTTGAACCAGATCCACAGCTTGAACCAGAGCCACAACTTGAAGGATAGCCACAACCAGAAACAGAGCCACAACCAGAACCAGAGCCACAACCCAGAACCAGAGCCACAACCAGAACCAGAGAGCTGCAACCAGAACAAGAGCCACAACCAGAACCAGAGCCACAACCAGAACCAGAGCCGCAACCAGAAACAGAGCCACAACTTGAACCAGAGCCACAACCAGAACCAGAACCAGGACCAGAACCAGAGTCGCAACCAGAACTGGGAGCCACAACCAGAACCAGACCCACAACCAGAACGAGAGCCACAACTTGAAGGAGATTCACAACCAGAACCAGAGCCACAACCAGAACGAGAGCCACAACCAGAACCAGAGTCACAACCAGAACCAGAGCAGCAACCAGAACCAGAGCCACAACCAGAACCAGAGCCACAACCAGAACCAGAGTCACAACCAGAACCAGAGCCACAACCAGAACGAGAGCCACAACCAGAACGAGAGCCACAACAAGAACCAGAGCCACAACTTGAACCAGAGTCACAACCAGAAACAGAGCCACAACTTGAACCAGAGCCACAACCAGAACGAGAGCCACAACTTGAACCAGAGCCACAACCAGAACCAGAGTCATAATCTTGAACCAGAGCCACAACTTGAACGAGAGCCACAACCAGAACCAGAGCCACAACCAGAACCAGAGTCACAACCAGAACCAGAGCCACAACCAGAACGAGAGCCACAACAAGAACCAGAGTCGCAACCATAACAAGAGCCACAACCAGAACCAGAGCCGCAACCAGAAACAGAGCCACAACTTGAACCAGAGCCACAACCAGAACAAGAGCCACAACCAGAACCAGAGCCGCAACCAGAACCAGAGCCACAACCAGAACCAGAGCCACAACCAGAACCAGAGCCACAACCAGAAACAGAGCCACAACTTGAACTAGAGCCACAACCAGAAACAGAGCCACAACCAGAACCAGAGCCATAATCTTGAACCAGATCCACAACTTGAACCAGAGCCACAACCAGAACGAGAGGCACAGCCAGAAACACAGCCACAACCAGAACCAGAGCCACAACCAGAACCAGAGCCACAGCCAGAACCAGAGCCGCAACCAGAACAAGAGCCACAACCAGAACCGGAGCCACAACCAGAACCAGAGCCGCAAATCAGAAACAGAGCCACAACTTGAACCAGAGCCACAACCAGAACCAGAACCAGAACCAGAACCAGAGTCGCAGCCAGAACCAGAGCCACAACCAGAACGAGGGCCACAACCAGAACCAGAGCCACAACCAGAACCAGAGCCACAACCAGAACGAGAGTCGCAACCAGAACCAGAGTTACAAACCAGAACCAGAGCAGCAACCAGAACCAGAGCCACAACCAGAACCAGAGCCACAACCAGAACCAGAGTCACAACCAGAACGAGAGCCACAACCAGAACGAGAGCCACAACCAGAACGAGAGCCACAACAAGAACCAGAGCCACAACCATAACCCAGAGCCACAGCCAGAACAAGAGCCACAACCAGAACCAGAGCCACAAAGCCAGAACCAGAGCCGCAGCCAGAAACAGAGCCACAACTTGAACCAGAGCCACAGCCAGAACCAGAGCCACAACCAGAACCAGAGCAACAACCAGAACCAGAGCCTCAGCCAGGATCAGAGCCACAACCAGAACCAGAGCCACAACTTGAAGGAGATTCACAACCAGAACCAGAGCCACAGCTTGAACGAGAGCCACAGCCAGAACCAGAGCCACAGCCAGAACCAGAGCCACAACCCAGAACCAGAGCCACAGCCAGAACCATGGTAGCAGCCAGAACCAGAGCCACAACCAGAACCAGAGCCAAAACCAGAACCAGAGTCACAGCCAAAACCAGGAGCCACAGCCAGAACCAGAGCCACAACCAGAACCAGAGCCACAATCAGAACCAGAGCAACAACCAGATCGAGCGCCACAACCAGAACAAGAACTGCAGCCAGAACCAGAGCCACAACCAGAACAAGAGCCACAGCCAGAAACAGAGCCACAGCTTGAACTAGAGCCACAGCCAGTACCAGGCAACAATCAGAACCAGAGCCATAATCTTGAACCAGATCCACAACTTGAACCAGAGCCACAACTTGGAAGGATAGCCACAGCCAGAAACAGAGCCACAACCAGAACCAGAGCCACAGCCAGAACCAGAGCCACAGCCAGAACCAGAGCCGCAACCAGAACAAGAGCCACAGCCAGAACCAGAGCCACAACCAGAACCAGAGCCACAGCCAGAAACAGAGCCACAGCAGAACCAGAGCCACAGCCAGAACCAGAACCAGGACCAGAACCAGAGTCGCAGCCAGAACCAGAGCCACAGCCAGAACCAGAGCCACAGCCAGAACGAGAGCCACAACTTGAAGGAGATTCACAGCCAGAACCAGAGCCACAGCCAGAACGAGAGCCGCAGCCAGAACCAGAGTCACAACCAGAACCAGGCAGCAGCCAGAACCAGAGCCACAGCCAGAACCAGAGCCACAGCCAGAACCAGAGCCACAGCCAGAACGAGAGCCACAGCCAGAACGAGAGCCACAGCAAGAACCAGAGCCACAACTTGAACCAGAGTCACAGCCAGAGAAACAGAGCCACAGCTTGAACCAGAGCCACAGCCAGAACGAGAGCCACAACTTGAACCAGAGCCACAGCCAGGAACCAGAGTCATAATCTTGAACCAGAGCCACAACTTGAACGAGAGCCACAGCCAGAACCAGAGCCACAGCCAGAACCAGAGTCACAGCCAGAACCAGAGCCACAGCCAGAACAAGAGCCACAGCCAGAACCAGAGTCGCAGCCATAACAAGAGCCACAGCCAGAACCAGAGCCACAGCCAGAAACAGAGCCACAGCCAGAACCAGAGCCACAGCCAGAACAAGAGCCACAACCAGAACCAGAGCCGCAGCCAGAACCAGAGCCACAGCCAGAACCAGAGCCACAGCCAGAACCAGGCCACAGCCAGAAACAGAGCCACAGCTTGAACTAGAGCCACAGCCAGAAACAGAGCCACAACCAGAACCAGAGCCATAATCTTGAACCAGATCCACAGCTTGAACCAGAGCCACAGCCAGAACGAGAGGGCACAGCCAGAAACACAGCCACAACCAGAACCAGAGCCACAGCCAGAACCAGAGCCACAACCAGAACCAGAGCCGCAACCAGAACAAGAGCCACAGCCAGAACCGGGCGACAGCCAGAACCAGAGCCACAACCAGAAACAGAGCCACAGCAGAACCAGAGCCACAGCCAGAACCAGAACCAGAACCACAACCAGAGTCACAACCAGAACCAGAGCCACAACCAGAACGAGGGCCACAGCCAGAACCAGAGCCACAGCCCAGAACCAGAGCCACAGCCAGAACGAGAGCCACAACCAGAACCAGAGTTACAGCCAGAACCAGAGCAGCAGCCAGAACCAGAGCCACAGCCAGAACCAGAGCCACAACCAGAACCAGAGTCACAGCCAGAACGAGGCCACAACCAGAACGAGAGCCACAACCAGAACGAGAGCCACAACAAGAACCAGAGCCACAACCAGAACCAGAGTCACAACCAGAAACAGAGCCACAGCTTGAGACCAGGCAACAGCCAGGAACGAGAGCCACAACTTGAACCAGAGCCACAGCCAGAACCAGAGTCATAATCTTGAACCAGAGCCACAACTTGAACGAGAGAGCCACAGCCAGAACCAGAGCCACAGCCAGAACCAGAGCCACAGCTTGAACCAGGAGCCACAACCAGAACGAGAGCCACAACCAGAACCAGAGTCGCAGCCATAACAAGAGCCACAACCAGAACCAGAGCCGCAAAATAGAGCCAGAAACAGAGCCACAGCTTGAACCAGAGCCACAGCTTGAACCAGAGCCACAACCAGAACCAGAGCCACAACCAGGAACGAGAGCCACAGCCAGAACCAGAGTCACAGCCATAACAAGAGCCAGAACCAGAACCAGAGCCGCAACCAGAAACATAGCCACAGCAGACCAGAGCCACAGCCAGAACCAGAGCCACAACCAGAACCAGGCCGCAACCAGAACCAGAGCCACAACCAGAACCAGAGCCACAACCAGAACAAGAGCCTCAACCAGGAACAGAGTCACAGCCAGAACCAGAGCCACAACCAGAACGAGAGCCACATCTTGAACCCAGAGCCCCAGCCAGAACCAGAGCCACAACAGAACCAGAGTCACAGCCAGAACCAGAGCCACAACCAGAACCAGAGCCGCAGCCAGAATCAGGCAACAACCAGAACCAAGAGCCACAGCCAAAACCAGAGTCACAACCAGAACCAGAGCCACAGCCAGAACCAGAGCCACAGCCAGAACCAGAGCCACAATGAGGCACCAGGCCCACAGCCAGAACCAGAGCCACAGCCAGAACAAGAACTGCAGCCAGAACCAGAGCCACAACCAGAACAAGAACTGCAGCCAGAACCAGAGCCACAACCAGAAGAAGAGCCACAACCAGAACAAGAACTGTATCCAGAACCAGGAGCCACAACCAGAACCAGGGCCACAGCCAGAACAAGAACTGCAGCCAGAACCAGAGCCACAACCAGAACGAGAGCCACAGCTAGAACAAGAACTGCAACCAGAAACAGAGCCGCAACCAGAACCAGAGCCACAGCCAGAACCAGAGCCACAAATCCAGAACCAGAGCCACAGCCAGAAACAGAGCCACAACCAGAACAAGAACTACAGCCAGAACCAGAGCCACAACCAGAACCAGAGCCACAGCCAGACCCAGAGCCACAACCAGAACAAGAACTGCAGCCAGAACCAGAGCCGCAACCAGAACAAGAGCTGCAACCAGAGACCAGAGCCACAACCAGAACCAGAGCCACAGCCAGAACCAGAGCCACAACCAGAAACAGAGCCACAGCCAGAACAAGAACTACAACCAGAACCAGGAGCCACAACCAGAACCAGAGCCACAGCCAGAACCAGAGCCACAACCAGGCAAGAACTACAACCAGAACCAGAGCCACCAAGCCATAACAAGAGCCACAGCCAGAACCAGAGCCGCAGCCAGAACAAGAACTGCAACCAGAACCAGAGCCACAGCCAGAACCAGAGCCGCAACCAGAACCAGAGTCGCATCCAGAACCAGAGAACAGCAACCAGAACACTCTCCATCAAGCAGACCTTGTTGCTGAGAGACATAAAACCATCAGTGAACACAGTAAGAGAGTACGCTAATCCATTTCATGGTTATGGCCATTGAACACTGATGTAACATCTTATAGTGATAGATATTGTTGTTGTCACATGTTGAAGTATTTGATATTTGTATAACATATTTATGCAACTATTTTAAATACCAGAGTCACAACCAGAACCAGAGCCACAACCAGAACCAGAGCCACAACCAGAACCAGAGCCACAATGAGCACCAGAGCCACAACCAGAACAGGAGCCACAACCAGAACAAGAACTGCAACCAGAACCAGAGCCACAACCAGAACAAGAACTGCAACCAGAACCAGATATTGTTGTTGTCACATGTTGAAGTATTTGATATTTGTATAACATATTTATGCAACTATTTTAAATCTATAAAGTTATTTTCATGTCAATTCAGATTTTGATTTTTTGACACGTTTTTGTCTTCACTTATTATAAAGCAGTACTTTCAAAACAACACTGAGAATGCGATATATTCATTTCAGGGAATATGTAAAACAATTGCTGTGATTTTCAGGGTTTTCTTAAAATCCTTAGGAATTGCAGGGAGTTTTTGTGAAACCACCGAGTGAATCAGAAATTTTGATAAAATCCCTGAAATTTCCAGTGATCCTACAAAATCACTGATTTGACATATTCACTGTAACATATATAGTACATGGTCAGATGTTACACCATGTTATAACCATATTGTGTATATAGTACATGGTCAGATGTTACACCATGTTATAACCATATTGTGTGCATAATTTATTCAGTTTTACGCTCATGGTCAGATAACCCCTGTATCTGAATCAACGACAATATCGTGACATGAACACCATGATTGCTGACCCGGAAATCTGCTTATTTTCACTTGTGTCGTTTCATCCTGGTCACATCTGGCGAAGCCTCCACGATGATACATGAGAGATTCCTGTTGTGGGATGCATCCTTCCGATAGGTCGTGACCCATGCACCACGGAAACACACACTTGGTAGCATAGTCACAATGATAAAGCTAAGTTGTGTGTCGTTAAAGACCTAACTTCAAGTTTAAAACTATTAGACAGTTCTGTATCACTAGAACTGTAACCTCAACTCCGGGTTCAACTCCCAGTGTGTACAATTTCGGGGCTGTGGGGTAGTCTAGTGGATAAAGCGTTATTACTTGGTCCCCAGACATTCGACTCATCGGGATTTGACTGTATATGCATCAAATTGCTGAAAAGCATGTGCAAACATCGTGCATGTCAACAGCTGTGTTTGGTGTACGTTTTGGTAAGAATTCGCCGAATGTCACAGAGTATCATCATTTATTTGGGGCGGTGGGGTAGCCTAATGGTTAAAGCGTTGGCTCGTCACACCGAAGGCCCGGGTTCGATTCCAATATGGGTACAATTTGCGAAGCCCATTTCCAGTGTCCCCGCCGTGATGTTGCTGGAAAGGGTCAAATGACATATAGCACATGTAAACTTTCTCAGAAATAATAGAACTAAGAGTGTCCTCATAATGTTTAATGTGTTGACAAACGTGACACATCGTGACATACAGACAAAAGTTCCAACAGCACTAGCAAACATCAACATCTGTAGGTGATGCAGATTGTTGTTAGACTCCTAAGCCACAACTGAAACCCTACATTCAGTGAGGTTTTCTTCTCAGGATGGTGGTGGCGGGTGTGGTATCCTTTTCTAGTGGTGGGTGTGGTATCCTTCTCAACAAACCCCAAATGAAAATGGCAAACATAAAGCTCTCGGTCATTCAATATCTGGTGTATCCTCCTCGCGCGTCCAAGACACAGGTGCACTTTATTCTCATGCTCCTTATCAAGTTCATGCAGAAAGCTTGCGGAATCGCATTCCATTCCTCTACTAGAGCTCGGCGGAGTCCTGTAGAAATCCACTGGTGCTGGGTGACGTGTGTACACACATCGACCGAGTTCATCCCAGGCATGCTCCATTGGGGTGAGGTCTGGCGAGCATGCCGGTCACTCCATCCGCTCCACACCCTGCTGCCTAAGGAATTCAGTGACAATCCTGGCCCTATGAGGCCTAGTGTTGTCTTGCAGTAAACAGCCAGGGTCGACCATAAAAGCCATGCATAGCTGGCAGGCATGGTACTGCTATAGGAGCCAGAATCCCGTACCGATGAAGCTGTCTGGTAACGTTACCGTTGACCACGTCCAGTGGTCAGTACGTCCAGTAGGAGTTATCCCTTGTCAAACCATGGCCGACCCCCCTCCAAATCGGTTATTGGTGACCACAGTTGCATCTGTGATTCTCTCTCCATTGCAACGATAAATCCTCTGCCGACCATCATAGAAGGACAAACTGAATTTGCTTTCATCTATGAAGAGCACATGAGACCATTGACGTTCATTCCGCCAGCCATGATGTCTACTCCATATCAAACGCGCCTGCCTGTGACGTGGTGTTACTGATGGACTACAGGTGGACTGAAGTTAGACTACAGCCTGGCAGCCCTTAAACGTCGACTAACGGTGCTCTTGGATATCCTAACATTGTTAACATTGAAGTGTTCAGCCTGAAGATCTGCTGCGTTTGGAATCTGTTACATAACGCAGTGTTAATCATGCGCCTATCATCTCGGACTGTTGTGACTCTGGGGCGACCTGGGCGACGATGCATATTCCACGGACCCGTTGGCTTGAAATCTCTGCCACAGTCCACCAATAGTACTCTGACTCGCATTAAAGCTGACAGCAACCTGCCGCTGAGCTTGACCAGATTCCAAAAGGCCTTTAGCCTGACCTCTTTCAGCAAGTGTCATGAAACGTCTCATTTTAAGCTTGGATTTCAAACAGGTACCTGAACAGTGAACGACAGTTAAAGGATCAATTCATGTGTATTTTCCTCCGTGTTCCATGAATAGAGCGACTTACACATGCAAATCATTTTACATTAAGAGGCGGGTGGATTTCCATATTGACAATTTGCATAAATGTGTCACGTGCAACAGACTGTACCGGACGTTAAAGAACATAATAATGACATTTCAACGGCCTGGTGTGTTTTCCATACTGTTTTGTAATACATTCAGCTGCATACATTTCAAAACAAAACCGAAGATCTTACAACATTTAAGCAATAGCGTTACCAATAGCTCGACCCTTCATTTTCTGACGAGGTATATAGTATTCCCAGAAATTATTGAGAAAGTTGTTTCTGCAAACATCTAATACATGTATATAAACTAGAAGTTTTACTTGAATGAATATGTTTTGCGTTATGATTCTCTTACAGTCTAAGTGTCTTTTCAGTACTTTGTGAGACCAACTTGCCCTGCAATACACGACTGAATGCGCCTTGGTACACTACAAAAGTTTGTAGGAAATCGTGTGACAGCTTATACACCTCATATTCCACCACTTCTCTCTTGATTTCCTCAATATTTCTTAGTCCTTTTATTTAATCTGACCATCATAAGTCCCCACACATTTTGAGTAGGGTTAAGATCTGGGCTGAAAAAGAAAAGATCTGGGCTCTAGCTGGGCCAGTCTTAAACTTGAACATTTTCGTCAGACAACCACTGTTTTGTGTAGCCCGCAGTGTGCTTTGGGTCGTTATCATGCTGGAAAATCCAATTATCGTCATACAGTGTTCGGGCCGATGGAAGGAGGTGACCATTTAAGATGTCAACATATCGTTCCTTCGTCAAATTTCAGTGAAAATACACAGCGGCGTCACTCCACGTGATGATATCCCATCCCACATGTGAAATGTCGGGCTATGGGCGTTGGTAGATAGGTTTCATGGTATCATTTGTTCAATATTTCTCACAGATTGGAAAACGCCAGACAGAACTTTCATAAGAAAACATTATCCCAATCTTGATTTTCGTGCGGCCTACACCAGTTTAAACGTCTTACTTTTTGTTCATCTTTTATCAATGGTGAGGGAATTCCGCGCTTTTCACTCAGTTAAGTCTTTGTAATTCTTGTCTAAGGGTTTCATTACATACCTGACTGCTTCTATTAATCATCTCCTTTCTGATATTCAACACTTCTCAATTTCCCACCCCTCAAGGCGATCCGTAGTACTGAACTTACTTGTCCTCCCTGCCCCTGTCTAGTGCTCAGTCCCAACTCCTGACTGAATATTCTTCACAGTCCTGTATACTGTAGACAGAGGAATGTCATATCTACCAGCTAACTCTTTTCCATAAGTCACACCCCTTTCAAAATCATCTAGAACCAGCTTTCTTTTCTCTTCTGCTGTCAAATCTGCCATGTCTTCTCCACAACTGACTGACTAACTGACGGACTGAGTTTAGTTTTACGCCGCTTTTAGCAATATTCCAGCAACATCACAGCGGGGACACCAGAAATGGGCTTCACACATTGTGCCCATGTGGGGATTCGAACCCGGGTCTTCAAGCGTGATGAGCCAACGCTTTAACCATTAGGCTTCCCCACAGCCCCTGTCTTCTCCACAAGGAGAGATCCATATAACCCTTGATGTGGTAAGGTTCATTCGCTAACCTACAAGAGTTGCCCCCCATACTGACTACCTTACTACATCATGTAACACCTAATATTATCAGTATTAGCAAACAAAGTTTTTCACAATAATTTCTGGGAAAACTGTATATAATACAAATAATATACAAACTGCATGAAGCGTCCATAAAATAGTCCCTTTGGTTAGGTCAATATTACAATAAACAATTACAGGTTCCAGAGAGTCCTTCCTATATGGCAACCTTCTTCTTAACTCAAAAGGTGAGACGTTTTGTCAATTCACTTCAATAAAACAAACAGAACCGATAACGACTGGAATAATAAATAATATTTGGAAATGAAAAGTGGTGAGTTGAGGGATGGGAACAACTACTTCACAAAGTTGTGCCACAATCAAATCTCTGTCTCGAGATGCTTGGTGAAGGTCTAACACGTCATGTTGCTTTGTTTATTTACCCCCAAAATTGTCGGCTTAAAGGGAAATGAGATTGTGCTGTTAAGACAGGGATGGGGGGAGTCCTCCAGCATATTCGGTCCTGGTTGGAAACGTTGTGTGGCAGGAGGAGGCTTACAGTTCC